GGTTTCTATAGGAACTATAATATCTAGGAAAGCTTAACTTTTAGGAGGGGTTCAGAAGTACGCCAAGAAAAAGCTGTCAACTCTCTCTCGGGGTTGTTGTTTTACGGCAACTCTAAACCCTAAACCCTAAACCCTATAAACCCTAAACCCTAAACCTTGAAGGTCTAGGCTGATGGTTTGGGGCTTCCGCAGGACCTTGAGAATGAGCAACTAGCCACGGAGCTGCTCTAATGCTGAGCCTAAATATTACCAATAGTATTTTTTTGGGGGGGGTTCCTTATTAGAAATATATAGTATAATGGGCCCCAAAACCCTAATTCAGTTCCTGATAGGTTTTGCATCCTGAGCACGAGCATGCACGAGCAATCTGCGTGACGGAACCGACCCTAGCAGACGTGACCGGAACTCCGAAGACAGCGCCCGTGCTACCCAGAGCACGAACTTCCGTCTCGCACTGAATCCGAAGTTAAGCCTCCTGTGCCCCATATTCCCGCGTGCCACCTGAAGTAGTTGTGTTCTACTCCCGACCCAACAGAGCCCCAAGGCCTAACGCTTTGTTTTGTTTTGTTGGTTTCTTGCCCAGGCATGCACAAAGGCTTTGGCCGTTTGGTTGTAAAACCAAGAGTCCAACCACTTCAAAGCAAAGAGGCCGACCCGGAACCCAGGAGTCTATTGTTTGGGCCTTAGGGTTTTGGGGTCTAGAGTCTAGTATTTCAAGTCAAGCCCTCCAGGAGAGTACAAAAACGCTTGGGAGTACAAAAACTCTCGGCGCACCTGAAGAAGATCGCTTTCTCTCAGAGGCATCCGGGAGAGTTTTTGCTCCAGCTTGGTTTAGGTCCCTTTTCGGACTCGTGACACAGGGAGCTTCTGATGGGCTTTAAGAATGACTGTACGGTGTTCCCAGATGCACCGGGTAGCAGCAGGTTCGCAAACATGCTTGTCAGGAATGCTCAGGAGAGGCACCTGGCACCCACTAGTTGAAGGGGTGCCTCTGGAAGTCGCTAGCTCCAGCGATTATGTTCTGAGCCCGGTCTAAGGGCTCAGGGTTCTGGGTTGAGCATCTATAGGGGTTCAGGGTGTAGGGTTTATGGTNNGGGGGGGGGGGGGGGGGGTTGAGCCCGAACTCTCGGTTTGATCCCTTAAAGTTTGCACCTGTGTGGAGGTCCCCATCGAGTTGCTCTTCGCGGTGCTCAAGGCAAGGCCGCGGTTCCAACTGCTTTTGCTCCATGTGCTTCCGATTCGCGAGATCATTTCGGGGGTCTACCGTGCCTGCTACCGTGCTGATCAGGGCTGTGGCGATTGCTGGAACTGACATGGCTTGAAGCAGTCAGGTTGGTGGTTACTATCACAGGCTCAGACAATGTAAAGTCGTTGCCGCGCACCCTAGGCCGTTGCAGGGCGTAACTTGTCGCAAGACCTTGTTGTAGCCCTCTCGGCCCTGCCCCTTGAAGTGTGTTGACAAGTTGTTATGTTAAAGCTGCATGAAGGAAGTACATGTCTTAGGGCAGAAGTTGACGTCCTCGGCCCGTGCCCGTGTCGGTAGCATGCGGACATGCTTCGGAGTCCCGAGTTCAGGGAATTCCTCATTTTCAGAGTTCATGTGGCGATGCTGATCTTGCTGGCGACACGGTAAAAGTCCTACAGTGCTTACCTCAGGCCCGGGCAGCACTTGAGCCACCCCTGGATGACGGCTGAATCGCGCTCCACCTCAGTCAGGGCAGAGATCTCGGGGCTTCTGAGGCGTCCATGTGGCGGGATATGTCAGGTCCGAATTCTATCGCAGGGAGACTTGCTTTCCTCTGTATCATTGCATTCTCCGAAAGGAATGGAGGCTAAGCTCAGCCGTGGAAAATAAGCTTATGTGCATTGAAAGCTTTAGCACTCAGTGGCGCAGCATAGTTAAAGCAGTGCGACTGTGCAGTGTCCCTTCCACCGCTCAAGCCTAAACCCTTAAACCTGTCAACCCTTGAACCCATATATGCTAACCCCTTCAACCCTTGAACGCCAAACCCCCGCGATGGTCAGTGACCCACAGAAGCGAGACTTTCTTCGAGTGCCAAGGTCATCGGCAAGGTTGGCGCTGTGCACCTGATGCCAGAAGGGGCCGTCAAAACATGAAGTCCATAAATGCACCCTAAACCCTAAACTTTAAACCTGCCTAAACCCTGCAAACCCCATTGGGTTTTAATCATGCCCTAGCTCCGTAGGGCTCCAATGCTTTCCCCCGGTACCCTGCATCCGTCCCCGAATGCACCCCAGATACAAAACTTAAAAAGAATCCTCACTAAGTCAAGCTTTTTACGCTGTTCATGCTCAGCCACGACTTTTGTAGAGTCTTGGGCTGAATTGCTCATCTTGGCGACCACCGGCACGGGACGCCGAAGGCCCGGCGCAGGGGAATGGGCAAGTGGGGCAGTTTCCTGAGGGCCCGAAGCGGATTCTTGGCACTCGGATCCCACTTGCTCTAGCAACTTGTGAACCAAAATCAGGGGCGACTTCAGAATATAGGTTCAATGCCTGCTTTCAGGGTGAAGAGTTCAAGCCTCTTGGCTTTGGGGCGTTCTTCGCTGTCGTTGATTGTTGTCTTGCGGAGGGAAGGAGACAACGAGGTCGCTTGCTTTTCATTAGAACGGTTGGGCTGTGACTGCCACCTGTTACAACGGATGCTTTCGAAATACCTCGAGTAAGACGGGCGGTTGACAGCAGATGTAGCGAAATCAACTAGTCGCAGTCAAAGAGGA